CCTATAAGACAGAGTAGAACTGCCTCACAGAGTTTGCAAGACTGTAAATCTTTATGGAAACAGACTGCTTCATCGTTCTCCTGAGGAGCTACCGGTGGGTTCAAACTGTCAAACTTTTGGTTGGCAGACCAGTGCTTTAGCCACTGTACCACCAAAGCACCTTTCAAACAGATCTCATCTGGTCCAACCAATCATCCTATTAATGAAATGAAAACACGGGCTTAAAAAATAAAGGTTTTATTTTTTAATTTAAAGGGTTAAAAAATGAAGATTCAGCCCAGTTTCCTCTGATTAAGGGAAGGATCAGTCTGAAAGAGGTGATGTACCTGTTGAGAGCTGATATTTATAGGTTCCTTTAAAACGATCCAAGTGACACTCTCAAGAAGAGGTGGAACTGTAAGGGAACCAGGATAGGTCCAGTAGTCCCAGGATGGAGGAAGCAGAGATAACGGGTCAAAATTTGTAAATCGAGTTTGTTTTCCCTGGGAGAAAAAAGAGAATTCCCATAAATTACAATGGTATAGCTTTCCAAAGACCTCAAAAAACAAATATCCAAAGAAACAATATGGAATTATTTCGTATCTGCCTTTTAAAAATATCAATACCACACCATTTAGATTTAAGAAGTACAGAATTTGTTTTAATATGTGTTCTTTAAAATGTTTTATCATTAAAGATTTATTATGCAAAATTCCAATGCCAGAAACTATTTATGCATAAATTGTTATTATTATAGCTAATCATCAGTGGTTATTTGAGAGAAGAGCACATTGGTGGTTCAGTAGTAGAATCCTTGCCTTCCATGCAGGAAACCCAGTTTCAACACCCAGTCAATGCACCTTAGAGACAGCTACCATCCGTTTGTCAGTGGAGGACTGAATGTTGCCATGATGCTGAACAGATTTCAGCGGAGCATCCAGACTAAGATAGACAAGGAAGGAAAGTCTGCTGATCTACTTCCAACAATCAGCCAATGGAAACCCCATGGATCACAACAGCCCAATTCCCAACCCAATCATGAGGATGGTGCAGGACTGGGCAACAGTTTGTTGCATTGTGCACAGGGTCGCCATGAGTCACAGGCCAACCTGACAGCAGTTAACAACAATTTTAGATCATTTAACACCCCTTCATAATTTTCCAGAAGTGGTAGTATAATTCGGTGCTATTGGTCCCGAACATTCCAAACTTTCTTTGAAGCAGGCAGCATGAGCTTATGTGTAAGATCTTAGACTTTAAAAAAGTTAAGTGAATTCAGGACAGAATATTCACAGGAATATATGCACTAATTGCTGTCAAGTTGATTCTAACTCATTGAGATCCATAGAATAGAGTAGAACTGCCCCACAGGGTTTCCAAGGCTGGCTAATCAGAAGGCTGGCAGTTCAAACCCACGAGCCACTCCTCAAAGGAAGGTTAGACAATCTACTTCTGTAGTGATACTGCCTTGGGAACCCAAGGAGGGGTTGCTATTAGTGGATCCAACTCAAAGGCAATGAGTTAATATTTACAGGAGCAGATTGCCACACCTTTCTCCCATGAGTGGCTGGTAGGTTCAAACTGTTGACTTGCTTACCAGCCAAATACCTAGCCACTGCACTACCAGGGCTCCTTAGGAATATGTTAACCATTCCAAAAACCAACCAAATCCACTGCAATTGAGTCAATTCCAACTCAACCCACCCTCCATAGGGTTTCCAAAGCTGTAAATCTTTATGGAAGTAGACTGCCTCATCTCCCTCCCACAGAGCAGCTGGTGGGTTTGAATCACCAACCTTCTGGTTAGCAGCCAAATGCCTTATCCACTGAACCACCAGAGCTCCTTATGTCAAGCATTTGCAAATAATGACTTATTTTACCTTTTCTTTAATAGAATCCAGAATGTCAGTAATTTTTTGCAGTTGAGAATTATGTTCACCGATCTGAAAACATGCAATTTCAAAAGAAATTGTTACTGTAGCAGATTTGATCCAAACCACTTTCAGTCACTATTTTTCAATTATATTTATTTAAAGCTAATCCAACCCAGAACAATCAGCAACTGTTTTGTAACAAAGTTCTCTTTTACCTGTTGGCCTTATCCTGCCAGAAGAATCTAAACAACAAACAACAAGATAATGTTACAGGGTTTCTTGGCTGAACCATCAGTTGTGGTTCCAAAACTAGTAATAACAGTTTCATTTTTCAGTTTTATAAATGTTTAAGGTATAAGGTGCCTTGAAAGAAACCTTGCTTAGGAAGTTATAATATATCTATCAGCTGCACTATTAAGCCAGATGTGACTTTCAGACCCTAGGTCCAAACTGGCTATGACCACCATCACCATGTGTCATAAAGTCAGCTCTGACTCATGGTGACCTGACCTCGTGTGTGTCAGAGTAGAACTGTGCTCCACAGGGTTTGCCATGGCTGGTTTTTCAGAAGTAGATCACCAGATCTTTCTTCTGAGGCATCTCTGGGTAGACTCGAACCTCCAACCTTTTGGTTAGTAGTTAACCACGCAGGGACTCCAAAACTGGCTACCAAAAAAAAAAAAAAGCCAAACTCACTGCCATCGAGTCGAATTCGCCTCATAGCAACTTCCTTTAGATTTCCAAGGTAGTAAATCCTTACTGAGGTAGATTGCCCCGTCTTCAGTGGCATCAAAACATTAGACCAAAACATCTCCCATTTTCAGCCTAAAACAATTGAAGGTCCTCAGGAGAATATATATAGTGAAATCTATGAGAGCTGGAATGCCATGGGACTACCTTGTTTTTCTGAATCTATTTTCTCTTTGACAGGGTGCAATCTTGCCACTTTTCTATCGTCCTCTATTGGTAGAAAATAATTGAATTTTCCTTCCCTGACAGGTTTCTGCCTTATATAAGTTCAGGCTTTTGCAAGTTTTACATTATGTAACTCTTTTCATTATAATGCCCTGAATCAACCTGAAGTTTTTATACACTTTAGAATTAAAGTGAAAACCCTTGTCCCTCTTAGATCCTACAGCCACCACTCAGACTTGGAGGCCAAAGGAAGGGGCTATTGTTATCCACACCACTCTCCACCTCTGCACCATGCTTCCTCCAGTCCCAGCTGCAGGAGTTACAACATAGCACACAGAAGTATGTAACATGGCAAATAAACACACCCGACAGGAATGTGGTCACAGTGATAGCCGAGCAGCCCAACCTGCCACAAGTACTATGACAATGATACTTGTCTTACCACATGTGAATATTACACAAAGGGAAAAACAACAAAACAATATTTTAAAAAAATAGTATTTGTGGAAACAAGCCATTGTGTTCAAATTAAAGAACTGAGCTTGAACTTTATTCTTTCACTTGACTGCTAACCAGAAGGCTGAAGGTTCAAACCCACCAGCCACTCCTCGGAAGGAAGATGGGGCAATCTACTTCCGTGGTGATACTGCCTTGGCAACCCAAGGAGGGGTCGCTATGGGTCGGGTCCGACTCCACGGCACATAACAATAACAACAATATCTTGCTAATTATTGTGTAATCAGGAAGAGCCTAGAATAAGGTTTTGCTTCTCAGAATCTCAGCTGTTACTTCTGTCGCTATTGTTTTTGTTGTTCTTGTTGCTGCTCTTGCTATACATACAAAAATCACCAATGGACAATAACAGAAACCGTAAGACAACGTTCTAGATCCTTAGATGAGCCATAAACTAATACATACATTTTTACTATTCATTTCAAAAGAATAGTTGGCTATTAAGGAAATGATTGAATGTCTACACCATAATTGAAAACTCTTTATCCAAAATAGCTGGTTAATTATTTAAAATGAAATCAGTTTATTCTTACCTGTAAAAATACCCCCAAGACAGCAAGTCCATCAGGCTCATGAGCTGCCTCTACAAAACTGGGATATTTGTCTGAATTCCAATGAACAACATGGAGCTGAAAGGGAGGCACACAATATAACTCAAAAAAATTTTTAATCATTGAAAACATAAATGCAAATAAAACTATATAAATGCTCTGGTCCCATTCATTCATATGTGTAATATATTATCCATAAGAACCTTGGGCAGAATCCTTGTATTTGAAGGGTCTGGTCACTTAGCTAGTCTGTCTTATTTTATTAAAATCAACACACCATTTAGGATGCCCTGGAACATCCTGCTGAGCTCCTCTAGCCCAAACAATCCCCAGTCGTTATTACCAAACAACATAGGGTCCCTCCAGGCTTTCCAGAGAGATGTGATTGCGAGTTAGCAAGTGGTAGCAGAACCCACTGAAGCTTAGGTTTTACAGATAGGTGGCTATGTCAACACCTACACAGTAGGTAAGGAGCCCTGGTGGGGAAATGATTAAGCACTCAGCAATTCGAACCCATCAGTGGCTCTGCGATGAAAGACCTGGCAATCCGCTCCAGTAAAGATTACAGCCTGCAAAACTCTATGGGGCAGTTCCACCCTGTCCAAAATAGGCCCATACTGAGTTCATACAATAAAAGCACCACAGAGCAGGTTTTCAGGGACAATCTGCTGCCAACTGGTCCAACAAGGACCAATTCTTCTAGAAACTTCTCCATTGGATGCTTATAGCTGTAGTTTGACTTCTTTGGCTTGAGAAGGCAAATTCTCATTAAGACTAACTATTTTAAGCAGCATTCACACATTTACAATCTCCTATGAATATGTTCAGATCCTTTGCTAAGAGCAAGTTTTAATGGGGGAAAAGAGGCTTCAGGAATCAGGGTTGTCTGATGAAGAAAATAAAGGCAGGTGGTGTTACTGAGGGAAGGAAGAAGAGAAAGAAGTGAGGCAGGACTCCAGAAACCAGACATCATCTACGTCACAACTCTACTTTCATCCAATGAGCCTTCTGCAAAAACCAAAGGGGCCCCAAATGTTCTAGCATAGTAACAAAGTAGTGTCCTAAACATACAAATGTGAAAGACTACAAAACAGGAATTAGGCTTTTGGTGGCTGCAAGTTCCAGGAGATCTCGGCTGGACCTCAAACGTCGGACCTCATTGTCCGCACTGCCTCGGGCCCCCAGAAACTCCTCAATAAAATGGTTTGACCTCAAGAAAAAAAAAAAACAGGAATAAGGCAAAAAACATGTTAGGAAAGCCTTCAGTCTTTGTGAAGGGAACAATAAACTGAGATAGAAGGAAGGGGCCATGTGACCCACCCAAAAAAGTTTGGCTACAATGGTAAATGGTTATGTCCAGGTCATGCTGTCCACTTGAACCCATATTTGAGACTGACTTCAGATAAGCTCTCTTTCTAATGAACCCTTTTGGCACATTAGAGATGAAACATTTAAATGGGTCCTCAAGCCCAAATCACCCTTCTGGTTGACTTTGGCATCCTAGATGGTGAACTTGGAGCTTTGAGACCACCTAGAGGCACCTTGAAAGAAAAGCCTGGTGCTCTACTTCTGAAAAAATGAGCCACTGAAAATCCTACGGGGCACAGCTCTACTCTGACACACAGGGGTCACCATGAGTCAGAATCAACTGGACAGCATTTGGGTTTTTCAGCTGTTACAAAATTATTTCATATATTCAAACACACGTCATTATCTCATCCTTAAATGTAACTCCACATCTGACAGACAACCAATAGGAGGAAGGGGTATTTCTCGACAGCAGGGTTACTAGAAACAGTGAACTGTAAAACAGAGCACCTTCCACAAATCAAATAAGGCTGTGGGATATGCAGATGGAAAGAGGAAAGTGATTTCCTGTGGGCCCACGTTCTAAGCTAGTGTGAGATACTTGGGGGAGGAAAGAAACCTGAAAATATCAGATGATGACACAGAGATACAATTGGCTCACAGGAGACAGATGACATTCCCAGTAAGGGAGGGGCTGAGGACATGTTACAGTGGTTCTAAATGGCTCACTGCTCAAGCATTGTTCATGTATCAAGAGATGACATCAGAGAGATAAAAAGATGCAAAATGACTTCTTCAAGGTCAAAAACTACTTTTTCCATTGGTTTCAGCATACCTTCTGTTGCTGAAAACACATGGTATTAACAAAAAATTCAACTGAATAGAAAACAAAACAACAGAGTAGAAAGTGAATGTGTAACTAAAGAGGTGCATCTAGTTAAATCTCTCTGCTGGTTAAAAGTACATATTTATATCATGGGTAACAAGCCCCTCAAAAAAAATCTTTTTTTTTTTCCCTCTAGTTCTCTTTTCCTTTTTCTTTTTTTGTTTTTTAACAAGGCCTCCTCTCTCCCACATGCATTTCTTAACTGGAAGAAATACCTTCAAGGGAAGGGAATCATTTTTTTTTTAGCAGTCAGTCCTGAATTAACCCTTTCATGACCAAATTATTTTCTGTTTTGAATTTTTTGTTAATACCATGTGTTTTTAGCAACAGAAGGTATGCTGAAATCAATGGAAAAAGTCGTTTTGAGGTAACATGGATTTTGAAGCAATTTTTTTGTGACACATATGTCCCCAGTGACTCTGGTGGCAGGAATGGTGGGGTAAGTCTGGTCTCTTCAGATTCACGCAGTTATATAGGTCCCCACCAGGTGATAGCACATACTACAATGGGGATAGCAGTTTCCCAAGAAAATTGAGAGGCTAAAATTTTGGTAGACTATTGTATCCCAGGAGCTCTGGTAGCATAGTGCCTAAGGCACTTGACTGCTAACCAGAAGGCTGACGGTTCAAATCCACCAGACACTCCTTGGAAGGAAGGTTGGGCAATCCCACTTCTGTAGTGATACTGTCTCAGAAACCCAAGGAGGGGTTGCTATGAGTCGGGGCCGACTCGACAGCACATAACAACAACAACAACATATGTATCCCGTGGGACACAAAAGAGTTAAAACACAAGCAAATGGCAAACTCATTTTCTGACTAACAATAACAGCAGCCATGATTGAGATAAAACAAAAAACTCACTGCCGTGGTGGTGTCGGATCCAACTCATAGTGACACCCCCCCCCCTTGGGTTTCTGAGGTGGCATAACTACGGAAGTAGATTGCTCCATCTTCCTTCCAAGGAGTGGCTGATGGGTTTGGACAGCCAGCCTTCTGGATAGCAGTCAAATGCCTTAGGTATTGTTGTTGTTGTTATGTGCCATCGAGTCAAACCTGACTCATAGCGACCCCTCCTTGGGTTGCCGAGGCAGTATCACTACGGAAGTAGATTGCCCAACCTTCCTTCCAAGGAGTGGCTGGTGGGTTTGAACCGCCAGCCTTCTGGTTAGCAGTCAAGTGCCTTAGGCATTATGCCACCATAAATGACAAAAAAAGCATTATATCCACTACAAAAATGGAAATAAGATTATTGTCTATTAGAAAATAATTTCTAAGTAATAATATTATTCCACTTTAGTACTTTTAAACTGCATAATAGTGGTACATGAAATTTGCTTACCATGCCAAAAACCTACCATTGATTTTCAAATCGTAGTTTTACTATCAATTACATATTTAATATGCTTATCATGTGTTCAGTATAAACTGTAATCAGACAAAGTTCCAAAGACAGAATGGACTATTAGCCTATTCTTTTGTAGGTACATAAGGGAGCTCTGGTAGCATAGTGGCTAAGGCATTTGATTGCTAACCAGAAGACTGGCGGTTCAAACCCACCAGCCACTCCTCGGAAGGAAGATGGGGCAATCTACTTCCGTAGTGATACTGCCTCGGAAACCCAAGGAGTGGTCGCTATGGGTCAGGTCCAACTTGACGGCACATAACAACAACAACAATTCTTGAATTAAAATGTTCATGGTTCAGATCATTTTAATCTCTCTCTGTAATCATCAGATTAGGCCAAAAAGTACATTTTTATATATTACAGCTTTAAATGGTTTTTTCTTCCTTCTTCTTGTTTATTAAAAGGACACAATTTTCTGGTAGTCATGAAATTAGGTACAAAAGTGGCTGAAAAAACTAACACCTTGGAATCATTTCTATAGCTGAATACAAGGGGATTATTTTGTCTTAAAACCAGATGCAAGTGACTCCCAAAGACCTTCATCTCCAGCTCTGACTTCTTCTTTAAACCCCAGCTTGGTATATCCAACAGCCTATTTAAATGAGAGCCTAGAATGATTAATGGGCATCTCAAAGTTATCATGTCCAAAAAGAAAGTTAATTCCTCTCTACAGCCTTCTTCTGGACTTCCTCATCTCAGTTAATGGCACAACCATCTTTCTTGTTGCTCAAGCCAAAACCTTAGAAATGCTTCTAGTCTCCTTTCCTTCCTTCCTCCTTCTGACATCCTTTTCTTTAGCAAGGATTTTACCTCCAGTGCCATATGTTTTACCTCCCAAGCATATCACAGATCTGTCTAGATCTCTTCATCTCCACCACCCTCATACCACAAACTGTCGTCATCTCTCACTTGGACTACTTCCATAGCCTTCTAATTTATCTCCTTGCTTCAACGTTCACTTGTGACAGTGCATTCTCCACGTAGCAGTCAGTTTAAAAAAAAAAAAAAAAAACTGACATTGAGTCAATTCCAACTCACCGTGACTCTTTAGGACAAAGTACAGTTGCCCTCATAGGGTTTCCAAACCTATAAATCTTTATGGAAGCAGACTTCCTCATCTTTCTCCCAAGGAGCCACTAGTGGGATCAAACTGCCAAACTTTTGGTTAGCTGTTGTTGTTGTGGTTATTTGCCATCGAGTCAAACCCGACTCATAGTAACCCCTCCTTGGGATTCTGAGGTGGTATCACTACAGAAGTAGATTGCCCAACCTTCCTTCCGAGGAGTGGCTGGTGGGTTTGAACTGCCAGCCTTCTGGTAGGCAGTCAAGTGCCTTAGGCACGATGCTATCAGAGCTTGAATGTTTTAACCACTATGCCATCAGAGCTCTTAGCAATCAGTTAGGTTTTGCAAAATATAGAACATAATATGTCATTCCCCTACTCAAAATTGCCCTTGTCTTCTTCCCACTACATTAAGGAAAAAATCCAACCTGCTCACCATCGTCCACAAAGCTTGATATGATGTGGCCACTGTATGACTCTCTAGGACCCCTCCTACTACTCTCCTTGCTCATTAAGTTCCAATCCCGTCGGCCAACATCCTTCTGTTCTTGAACATGCGAACTTCATTTCTGTCTTAAAGCTTTTGTGCTTGTTGATTCCACTTCCCAGAAAACTCTCCCTCAATTTTCTCATGACTGCTTGTCATTTAGTCTCAATTCCAAGTAACATCACAAGAGGCCTCTCCCAATCACTCATATCATGTGGTATTATTTCTGTCAATGCACTTACCACTTATTTGTTTAATGCCTAACCCTGACAACCATCCACCCTGAGGTCCTCTTCTTCCATCAGCATCTCCTATCTTGAACAAGAAACCTTCACTTCTCTTCTCCTCTCCTTCCCTCAAATCTAATCAACAAATACCACTGAAGCTGCCTTTTCTACCCATCCAGTCTTCCACCTGCACTGAAGTTCAAGCCTCCTTCATTTATCACCTATGACTTCCCCAGAAGCATCTGATGTGGCTCCTCATGTCCACTCCTGCTTCTGTCCAATCTAAATATCCAAATCTGATCATTCCCAATTCAAAACCATTCAATGGTTTCCCATTGTACTGAGAATAATGTTCATGATCTGTAATATGGCTTTCCTTAGAATCAGGCCCCTCCTGGCCTCTCCAACCTTGCCTCCCCTCATGCTCTTATCACACTGGTAATTCTGTTCTTCAAATGTGTGAGGCTCTTTCACCCCAAGGCCTCCCACATGGTTCTGTGTGGGATCAGTGGTATCTCTCCCCTTTTTCTGGTTCACTTCTGTTTACTTTTCAGGTCTCAGCTTAAAGACCTTTTCTGTAAGAAAGTGGTCCATGACCTCAAAGTCTGGGTTAAAATCAAAATCAAACCTCACTGCCACAGAGTCAATTGCAACTCATAGTAACCCTTTAGGACAGAGACAAACTGTTCCACAGGGTTTCTAAGGCTGTAAATCTTTATGGAAGCACACTGACTCATCTTTCTCCAAGGAGCAGCTGGTGAGGTTCAAACTGATGACCTTTTGATTAGCAGCCAAATGCTTTAAACACTTTGCCAGAGTGTGGGTTGGGCTGCATGGTTATCAGGACTCATGACATCCCTACTTCCTTCCAGGCAGTGCCTTCAGGATGAATGTGAGTAGCCTGGGCAAAGATCGGGGACATAGTGGCTCTCATAAATTCTTACAGAGTGAGGGAATAAATGAATAAATGCATCATGAAATGAAATAAGAAATATCCTTAAATAAATATTAAAGGACAGTGTGAAGCTCCAATCAAAGCATTATCAACTTCAAGAAGGGAAATCGATAAAGACAACCCTTGCTTGGAAGGTCAGGAGTCTGAGTCTTTGCCAAACTTCAGGATGTTGTTGTTATGTGCTGTTGAGTCGGCCCCAACCTCCTTGGGTTTCCAAGGCAGTATCACTACGGAAGTAGATTGCCCCATCTTCCTTCCGAGGAGTGGCTGGTGGGTTTGAACCACCAGCCTTCTGGTTAGCAGTCAAGTGCCTTAGCCACTATGCTACCAGAGCTTCCAGGGTATGAGGGTTCTTTTCAGAAGACTACTTGCCAATTCAAAATAAACTTCCGTGAGAGTATACTTTCAAGCTTATGAAAGTACAAGGTGTAACTACAAAGCAATGTGACAGATTTTCCAGAATTCCTTAGGAAAATTAGAGAGTTATGATCCAAAGCAGGCAGTTCTTAATCTCCACAGAGCTTCTGAGATTTAAAACAACTTGTTAAAATAAAACACAAAACAATTTTGTAAGCAAACATGAGGATCATTCAGTAGAAGACATAAAAACTGAGATAACATCTACATTCAGAAGTCCTTCATTCTAGCGTCTTGGCATCTTTTGTCCATCACCCTATAACACTATGTGTACAATTTATTTTTCCATCCTGAGAGCAAGGCAGGTCCTATACTCTAATATGTTTGGCCTCAAACAAAACTGCTTTGTAGGCAAAGTGGAAAGCCTCAAAGGGCAGCTGTACATGTTAATAGACGAATAAAATGGGAAAGAAATTCCATTTCTGAATTCCTCTGAGCAGCAAAGCTACAAAAGGGCATATAATTTCACAGCTCAATCACCACGAGAAAATGAAGAGAAACTGTCCTCATCTGGTACAAATGCTCCGCCTTGCCTGGACGACTCACAAACCCAATTATTTTCATGTGAATTTCCTTTGGTTGAGTCTTACAATAATTCACTTTCATTGCATGTAAAGCTAAGTGTTAGTAACATTTCACCATATTACAGATTGAAGCATATTACTATATGTCCTTTAACCAGAGGATTAAAAAAGTAGAGCACTATTAATGAATATAATTACCATTAAAAAGGAGTAACTTCCCAGTGAGAAAGTAACAAGTCAGTAAATGCTTATTATGCTATCCTTTAGCAATGACCTGAATAATTAACTGAGATTCCATTTTAAGCCTCCATTTATTATCACATATTCAAACGTCACTATGAGCAGAATTGACTCAAACTGGGTTGTTTTTGTTTTTTTTTTAATGTAGACTTTTGTAATATTAGAATATATTTGTCTAGACTAAAGATGTACACAGTTGGACCTAAAACAAACATTTCTTTCAATGGGCCCTTTAGAGGATGCAACAGATATCTCAGCAAGAGTTCATAATTTAGTATCCGACAATCCTGGGTTTAAAATCATCTCAACTGATTCCTTGCTAGGTAAATAATCTCTACAAATCTCCAGTTTACACATTTATGAAATGAGAATAACCTTAGATTTCAGGACTGGTTTAAGGCTTAGAAGAGCCATGTTTAAAGCTGCCATGTTGAAAAACTCTCATACTGAATGAATAAAGGAACTTCAGGCACAGAGATATGTAATTAGCTCAAGGATCTACGTGGGGTGAAGAGAGCTGTCCCTAAACAAAAATATCAAACCAGTTGCCAATGAGTTGATTCGGACTGAGAGTGTCCCTATAGGAAGGATAGAGTTAAATTTCGAAGGCTGAAGTCTTTACAGAATCAGACTGCCACATCTTTCTCCCACGGAACGGCTGATGAGTATAACTGCTGACCTTTCTGTCTGCAGCTGAGTGCTTACCCATGGCACCACCAGGGCTCCTTGAGTAGTCCCCATTGCACCTTAAATCCCACCACACTGCAAAACTCTGAGTCACTGAGTTATGGCCGATGCCTTACCTCTGCAGCGTATCGCACTCCATCTACTACATGCTCGGAGCCGTGGTCATCAGTGCACCCCCAGTGAAGGTGAAACTGTCGGAGCCTGTAGCTTCCAGTGAGTGGACCCCCTCGCAGAACTAAATACAAGTACATCTTAAATTGTTAGCAAGAAAAAAATGCTACAACCCATAACACATCTCCCTGAATTACTCCTCCAAGGAATTTTTTTCACATGGGTCATTCAGCTTGCTGAGAGAAGTACAACTTTAAGGTACATGAGGAACAAAAAGAAATATTTTTAAAGGGTAGAGAGCCCACAGATAGAATTTTATGGAACAGCTAGAAGATCTCAACAGACACAATGGTTAGTGTGATAGTTGGAGCTGTGTGTCAACTTGGCTGGACCACAATTCTGTGTGGCTTAAGCAGGTGTGATGTGGGTTATTCCCATGATGGGATCGGATGTATATGTTTTGAGCAGCCAATCTGTTGAAAAGGAGTTTCCCTAGGGGTGTGGCCTGCTTCCAATATATTTATAGACATCCTGGAAAAGAGACACTCTTCTGTGGATCGGGATCCTGTTGTGCTGCCTACAACTGTCTGTGAGCAGACAATCTACCATTCGACCTGGAGATCTTGGATTCATCATTCATTGGAGTCAACAGCCGGTATACTGCCTGCCAACCTTGAGCTCATCAGCCTCTGCAGCTGAGTAAGTCAGGAAAAGCCTCCAGCTTGACGTTTGGTCCAAGAACTTGGGACTTGCCAGCTTCCATAAGTATGTGAGCCATTTTCCTATGATAAATTTCTTTTTCTCTATATGTATATATAAGTTTTCCTGGTTTTGCTTCTTTAGAAACCCAGCCTAATACAATTAGAAAGTAGAAAAAATTAGGAATCCTTAAAGGTAAAGAATTTATTTCTTTAACTGAAGATAAGTCAACCTCTTAGAGTAAAGATGTGATACGCGAAGAGTTCAGTTTGTGCTCTGCTGGGCAGGTAGTACAGCATTATGGTTAGGGTAACCCAGTTGCTGTTGAGTCAGTGCTGACTCATGGTGACCCCATGTGCATCAGAGCAGAACTGTGCTCCACCAGCTTCCAATGGATGATTTTTCAAAAGTAGAACACTAGGCCTTTCTTCCAAGGTACCTCTGGGTGAACTTGAATCTCTAACCTTTTGGTTAGTAGTCTTGCTCATTAACCATTTGTACCACCCAGGGACATCACGGTTATAGCACAGGATTCAGCATTTCCTGGGATCACACTTTCTTCTACTAGCTTTGTGATCTTGGGCAAAGTCTGTAATTTCTAAGCTTCAGCCTTTACATCTACAACCTAAAGACAGGAGTGACATCTCCTCCTAATGCTGTTCTGAGAAAAGAAAGGATGAATGCAAAGCCCTTATCACTGCCTGGCATACAGTCAGCATGCAACACATGTTAGCCTGGCACATAGTCAGCACGCAGACATGTTAGCTATTGTTATTATGATGTTTTTTTTGTTATTATTATTATTTTAAATGGCGAAGTAGGCACATCTTTTGGTACTTGCATTCTGTATTTTTGGAGAAACATGAAATACCTGTAAAACAGGGCAAACTTAACTTTTTTATTTTTTTTTAAAGTATATTTCACTACCACTCTTCAACAAACATGATCTCCAAAAATAAAGCAATTGAATTATGATTTAGGTTTATAGGAAAACTTCTTAATAGAAAACATAGTCTGAAATCATCTCACAATTAATCTTTATTGGGTGTACTTAAAAAGATACGGGAGGATGAACAAGTGGTCAATGTTGAAGGCACCTCAAGCATTACTGAATTCCCATTATCACTCAATAAGATTAGTGTTAGATTGATGGGGCAGCCTTAATGATAGCTTTACTCTTCTGATATGCTATATAACTATTAGCTCAAAATGTGTCGGTTATGACCTGCCTTATATAAGAAGGAAATAGATTAACAGATATTATATGTATTTTTCTACAAATAGCAAAAAAGGGCAGGGGGGAAGAGAAGGCATTTGCCTAAAGCATATCTCTTTTTGAGCTGTACCATAGGAGCAAGAATGATCCAGATGGCCATCTACATTGATCAGTTCAGCTGCATTCATTTCTACCTTAGTGAGTCTGATTTGATTCAAGTTAAGTATCTACATCACTGGTTGATGTAGGGTTGGTGTAATGGCTGGAGCAGCAGCCTGGGAATACGCAGACCTGGGAATAGTCCCAGCTCAGCCACAAAATTATGTGATCTTTCAAAACTCACTTAAGCCCCTCTGGGCTTCAGCTTCCTTGTCTATATTTGTTACTGTTTGTCTGTCTATTTTTAATCATGGGGTTGGACTGGATGCTCCTTAACATCTACGGTTCTAAAAAGTGCCAATTAAAAAATTGTGAGAATATGTAATAAAAATCTTTTAGATTCATTTGGATTCATATTTCCTTATGTTATATAAAGACAGCTATTTTCAGAGACTTCCAAAAAAAAAGAAAAAAAGAACAAGAGAAAACCACATATACTAAATTCTAGGACTTACTCTTTAGCCACTCTGTTACAAGCAGAGTGATTTTACTGCTTCTTCTCCCTCTAGACAATGTCCATGAGGGAAGAGGCTGTGTCTGTTGGACCACTATTGCACCCATCACAGTTAACTATGACAGAGGAGATGAGCAATATGTATTTGATGAATAAGTGAGTAGAATATTTCATTTGTCTTTGAAAACAAAACAGCTTCAAACATAATTCACAGATAAATTAAGTTCAAAGGTACATATTCCTAAGTGATACCATAATCTACACAGTGTGGAAAAAATGGCATTCTAAAGGAAAAGAAATCAACTGCTCTATTGTCTTTTTTTTTTCCCCCTTGCTGTTGCAAGCGTTAAAAAGCAAAGATGTCATCTTGAGGACTAAGGTGCACCTGACCAAAGCCATATTATTTTCAATCTCCTCATATGCGTGAGGAAAACTGGACAAGAAATAAAGAGGAGTGAAGAAGAATTAGCGCATTTGAATTATGGTGTTGGCAGAGAATAATGAATATACCATGGACTGCTAGAAGAATGAACAAATCTGTCTTGGAAGAATGCTCCTTAGAAACAAGGATGGTGAGACATGTTATCAAGAGGACCCAGCCTGGAGAAGGATATCATGCTTGGTAAAACAGAGAGGGGAAAAAAAAGAAGACCCTCAAGGAGATGGATTGACACAGTGGCTGCAATAATGGTCTCAAACACAGCAATGATTCTGCGGATGGCGCAAGACCAGGCAGTGTTTCATTCTGTTGTGCATAGGGTCACTGTAGTCTGAACCTACTCAATGGCAACTAACAGCAACATTGTCTTTAAAATTAAAAAAAAAAAAAACATTGCTGTTGCATAATAAGATCTGGCCTGAACCATAAAGTCATTCCTTCACAGATAAAAAAGCAGATGAGAGAGTTTGAGTAATCAACGTAAAATTGACTTTGGGAGGGGATGCAAGCAAGCTGGCTCAGGAGAAAGAAAGTGATAAAAAAAAAAAAAAAAAACATTGTTAGGGCAACATCCAAGAATAAGGGTTGATAGCTGGAAAGCCTGCTCTGAATCCAGGGTTTAAAACCAGATTAGCAGAGCTCTGCTTAGTTAAGCAACAGAGATAGTCTTACACTTCACATATTTGAACTGCATGTTTGAATGTTTGAACTAAAATATCCAACCTGGGATTGTGATCAGCAAATGTCTTCATTGTGGAGCCCAATGATCTTCCAAAGAAACACAGAGTAGGAAACATGAGCAAAGTATCAAGGTTTATTTATCAGTGACTGCCATCGAGTCAATTCTGACCACATAGTGACCCGATGGGACAGAGTAGAACTTCCCCACAGGGTCTCCAGGTCTGTAATCTTCACAGAAGCAGACTACCACATCTTTCTCCCCTGGAGCAGTTCATAGATTGGAACCACTGACCTTTCAGTTACCAGCCAAGTGCCTTAATCATCACATCACCAGAGCTCCTAAAACTCTGAGATGTAATGAACATTGGCTACAAAAATTATTTTTAATGAAAATGATCTAGAGCTTTAAAGTGTCAAATTGCTCATCTTACTCTCCAATTTAGGTAAATAAATAAATATCATTATTTCCATCTTATGTTTGAAAACAAGTCATTATTCTTCCAAAATCACATATGGCATTTATAGTTCACATATCCTTTCATTCAGAATTTTTTTTTTTTAATCTACTGCAAATAATACACTCATGCAAGAAGTCTACAGGGATTGAAGGACAAGATTTACATGCCATAAAACTTTAGGAAGTAGTTACTATCTCATTAAAAGAGTCTTTATAATTGGCCATGTACAGTAAAGGCCAAAAATGTTGTGAAATGAGAAATGTATGTACTTCTTTATTGAATTTGTTTTTTTAAAACTCAATTCATAATTTGCTAACCTACTTATCTTCCTAACCTACACTATAGTCAGCAGTTTTGCAATGATAAGCAAGGGTGGCAATAAGATCCAGAAAAGTTAAATTAAAAATCAACACATTTGTCTATTACACATTTACTATCCATCACTAGGATACAAACTCCTTAAAGGGAGAAAGTGTCTCTTTCCCTGTGACTCCAGTGCCTAGGACAGTGCCTGGCTCAATAAATATTACTAACATAAAATTAGAGAGAGAAGCCACCTAAAGAAATACTCCACAAATACTGGTTTGTAAAGTTGTTATTGAGATTACCTGGGAATTGCTAAAGAGTAGGACTAGCCACCATGAGTCAGAATTGACTTGATGGCAACTAACATGAACTTATTGAAAGGTATAGCCTCATCATTGTATGGTAAACTGGTTCTCTGAAGAAAGTCTAAATTAACAGATCTGTGTTTTGCTTGGAATCTAGGAAAATAGGAACCAAAGAGCACTAATCTGCCAGTATTATAAAATGAGAGAGAATATGGAAAGGAATGAGACCTCGAATAAGCAAAACACTATTGAAGAAGAAGGACAAAGTAGGAGGTCTCACACTCCTGGATCTCAAAACCTACTATACAGCCATACTAGTCAAAACAGCCTGGTTCTGATACAATGACAGACACATAGACCAGTGGAACAGAATTGAGAACCCTGAAATAGATCCTTCAACCTATGGG